TGTCCAAGCCCAACAGGGCAACACCAACAGCATAACCCAACGTAGCTCTCTCTCTCTTGAATGGCGCCAGGCGCCCCACCTACTCTACAGCCTAACACTACAACTACAGAATGAAAGCAACCAGACAACTTGACGACCAGCGAGTGATGATGTCAACACCAATGCCGACCTCCCACCTCCACCAGATACGTCTCCCTCTTCACCCACACTCTCCCTTGTTATCCCACACAGCGCCCTTCACCTCCGAAGAACCACCTTCGTCCTTCCTCCTCTGCGCCCACAGGCAGCCCGGCTATGGCCGCCAGCGCCCTGCGCCCAGGCAGTGCACTACCGCTTAGCGCTTGCCTGCCTTCCTCAGCCTTAGGGCAACGCAGCACACATGCAACGCAGCAGCGTGCCGGCCTTGCTCGCAATGGCCAAGATCCCCTGCCCACTCACCCTGCTTGCCTATATGCCAGTGTTGCGTGTGGGCGGCCTCCCTTCAGCCTGCGCCTGGGCCCCAGTACCTGAACCCAGGTCCGTTGCGGTTGGGGCCCGGGATATGCAGTTGTGCCTCCTTCATCAGGGCCTGCGGCCAGATTCAGATAGTGGACCGATTTCCCATTGGCATTTTCGGCCTCTATTTCCAGTATGCAATGTCGGCCTCACGTTTATGTGCCTAGGGCCTAACCAACTTTGGGGCCCTGGGATTTCTGCATTTGCAGAGCTCCGATACTCTGTGCCTCCAACCAACTGGCGTGCTGCAACTGTATGGACCCCACTTCGAGAAATGTTTGCACAGAGGGCTCTTGTTGATTTGCTGGCCCGCCTTCACTTAGGGCGGGCACGAGGCTTGCTGGGGCCTTAGCCCAGAACATGTACATCATGGCAAGGCCCCTTCTTGAGGGCTCAATCCTCACATTAGCCAATACGAAAGCATTAGTGTGTCAGGACTACATAACAAATGTAGCCGTTGTTTCCTCCTATGGGGGAAGGCAGCGAAAAGATAACATGCTAGCTGCCGGAAGGTCATAACCTCCGTGTTATGTACCACTTTAGGGTTGCAAAGTTCTTGGTTGGACAGAGGCAATCACAGTGGGAAATGTACTCACTTTAATACTTAGAGGGGCAGGCCCTCCGAATCATCTGTAAGGTAAGAAAATAAGTGTTATGAGAAACCTTCTTACTTACCGTCGGTAGTGCAAACCAGAGAGGCTTTTAAGGAACTGTTTCTCCTACTGGGAGATAGACCTATAGAATACTGCCTATGAAGCTGGACGGCGACTGTCAAAGCTAGGGAAGAAGGAATGGATAGGGCCATATGCGTGTTCCGATAAATTGACAAATGCATGAATTGATAAGAGAGAAACAGGGACGTAGAGGCCAAGGATCCAAAGAATAAAAGAATATAAAAATTAATAACATCAATTTATAGGAGTATCCTATAATAAATAATTAAGAATGACTTATTTTTAGAAAGATAAGGTGATGTGGAAGCATATGTCAGGAACGAGGGATTTTTGACGAAACCTACTCTAACAATTTCGGATATCGGCTATGATAGTCAAAATCCTTTCTTGTTTAAGTCTGATCTGTGCATCACAAATTATCCGAAATCAGATAGGTGACAAGAACCGAATGGTTTCATACAAGACTTGTTCTGAAAGTAATACAACTTAAAGTTGATATCCCTTAGATTGCGGGGACCTAGTCATTTCTGGACACGTGTAAACGTATTGCTAGACCGCCTGAAAACCGTTAGTACTAAAGAAGACCCTCTCTCTAATGAAGGTGGAAGAGAATGAGTGGACAGATTTATACTCAACTGCAAATGGTTTTCAGGAAATCATCCCGAAGACAAGCAGGTCAAAAGTTGAGTCTGAAACATAGACCAACAACAGACTCTTTCATAATTGAAAACCGATTAACAGCTGAGCCTGTCAGTGTAGAGGGAGCTGACAAGCGACTACACTAAGTTTTCGATTTGCATATGAGATCATAACAGACCACCGTCCACACTAGGAGAAGGAATCTGAGTGTCGTAATCTGCACTTGAAAGGAAGACTAACATCTTTGATAATATTATATTCAGATTATTTGGGTGTCCTTGCGGTCGTTTCAGATGATGGATTGTAAACGGCAGGACAATGACCTGCATAGATGGAGTCCCCAAACGATTCGTCCTCTTTCCTGTGATGTCCAGATCATTAATGACCCAATCATCTATCTTACCATCCCTGTCTTACAACTGTCCCTGCCTCTGGGTACCTTCCTAAAGAAGGTGCATGCTGCCCCCAACCATAACTGAAGACATCAACGACAAGCTCTGGAGCCGTGAAGCTGTATATTCCGAAGTTCAAACGAGGGAGAAGGCTTGCAATTACATCAGCAAATCTCAGCAAGCTAACAACTTTGAGCTCAGTAACAGATGGAGTGAATAAAAGGCTTTCTCACGGGACTTTCGAAGCTAAGGGAGAAGGTATGCGAGGATTTAGTTCCTCGGCAGTGTCTGAAAGTGCCGCGCCCGCCCTAAGTGAAGGCGGGCCTGCAAATATGTGCCAATGCCTGTTTATAGGGCTATGAGACCAGACTGAGGGGCCCCAGCAGAGCCTGTTGTAAACCCCATGTGGGCATGGATTTTCGACGAGGCCTTGTTACGAGTTGGCTCCTTGGCATGCCCTGTAGGGCCCTATCAGCAAACATGAGCCCGCCCTAAGTGAAGGCGGGCCACCTGAATTTCAATATGGCCTGAGTTCGTCAATTTTGGCTAGTTTGGTGGGTGCCAGACAGTTGCCATGTGCCAGTTGGTTACATCCTCCACACTCATGAGAATCAGAAATAATTCTTGAGCCTTCTAGGCTTTTCCAGCAGCACAGGCGAAGCAGGGAGAACCTCACGTTTACTCCTGGGTGGTTGGGCAAGCTCAACCAATTCGGTCCCAGGCCACTGTCTGAATGGGCCTGGGCGCAGACACTTTTGGCCCGATTGGAAGCTACTGGAAATACACGAGGCCCAGCCAGGGAGCAGACTGGGCGAGCACTTTCCATATGGAAAGAGCTTGCCCCTGGTGGAGACATTCGGGCACTAGGCAGTACATGCGGCAGCACTGCTCGAGCAGGCGCTCACGGGCTGTGCGCAGTGCAGTAGCGCTAGTTGCCAGGCAGTGTGCTGCTGAGGGCAGCGCCATAGCCAGCCCTACATAGCCAGGGCTTGGCTTGGACAGCCAGTGGAGGTGGTGGTGGTCTTCGTGCATGAGGGAGAAGACGTGGGAGGAAAACAAGGACAGGGAGGCAGGAGAGATGAGGATGATGATGTGAGGGCTCATACCTGGTATTGGCGATGGTCTGCATCTTCAAGTACTTCAGTGGCTGCTGACGTCAACAGTTGCATTGTCAATTCGTAGGCAGGAAGTAGCTGTGTAGTGAGTAGTCTGGGCGCTGAGTGCCAAGTAGGGAGAGAGGGCCTGGATACGTATGTTGGTGGGGACGAGAGTAAAGCTCTCATTGACATTCCGTTTCAGTGTTTCGATTCCCCATTGGTGTAATATTGGTGCAATGCTGCTTTCTGGACACTGTGGGACTTTCTTGCTTTCAATGTGATTGTGCTATCTGGTTTCTGTCATCTCGCTATCTCTCATTTTCCTTGCAGGTGCTTCCATAGCCCACACCCAAACCTGTCCTGTCCGGTCTGTAGGGGTGACCACTCGCCATAGTTACTTTTTTTTTTTTTTTTTTTTTTTTTTTGGGTGAAAACTGCTTCAATGGTGAATATTTAGAAATCTGTGAAACTTGTCATACACCCTTCCCCTGCTTTTTGCATGTCATACTCTTATCCTGCCCTCCAGATATTTCTTTCCTTCCCGTTGCCCCTACCTTCCCTGGCCCATACTCCTAGAGAACTCCTATCCCTTACCCTCCACCCTCCCCTCCACTCCCTTTGTACTACTAACAAATACATACAAACGAGCATCATTAAGAGAAGAGACGATATGAAGATCAGAAATGAAATGAACGGAAGTATGAAGATGAAGGACGGACACAAAGACTGTATAAGCTGAAGATCTGAAGTGAAATGAACAGGAGTATGAAGCTCTGAAGATATGCACAGGAGCATACCTTCCCTTTTACTCTGCCTTCTGAAGTAACGTGCAAGTGGGCCGTGAAGGCACACGGGGATGTGGGCAGCTGCCGCTCAACCACAATCAACGTGGGCAGCCTTGTGCGTAAGAGGCACAGTAAAAGGGGAGCTTCTAGAACAATGACAGGGGTACCCCAAGGACAACCAAAAAACTGTCTAATTATGAAATTGCTTTAATATGTTGGACATCTCAAATGCTCTCGTTGTCTGCAATAGGACAAAGACTGATTTGATTCTGAATCTATTCACCTGGGTGGAATTGGGGCTGTTGTGGGGAAAATCTAAAACACACACACACACACAGAGAGAGAGAGAGAGAGAGAGATGGTGACGTTGAATTCCAGTGCTAAGCCTGCCACCACACAACACTTGTGACTTCAGGAACACACTGCTTTATCGTCATTTTTTTATGATGTCCTCTTCCACCTGTGGTTTATATTTTCACTGCCTTCCCAATCAATTCCCAATCAAAGGTGCAAACATATCCCTACTGACGTACATGTAACCTTGGTTGAACTGCACAAAGCTCGTTGTGAGAAGGCATGACGTCGTCCATTTTCTGTATTCAATCCGGTTTGTGCAAATGAAGCGTAGCTGGGATTTATTTTGGGACTACCATTCTTAACGACCGTCTCCTAAATGGTAATCCCACACTGAATACGCTGGCTCACCCCGTCTCCTTTTTTCTTCCTCAACTTGCATGTCCTCTTCTCCCTGCCCCAATTTGCATGTCCTTTCGGCTTGCCACTATCCTCATTGAACATCTTCATCTATCACCCAGTAAATTGGTGCTGCTATACTCACTGTTCTGTCTTCATAAAAGACCCCCCTTCCACTAATGTGGGGGTTTTCACGCTGGCACTTGTTTGATTCTCTTGCCTCAGGTGACAGAAGAGCAGCTGGCATCCCTCTTCATCTCATGTGGACAGGTCAGGTTTGTCTTCTTTATTGCAAGGTTGTGTGTTTATTTAACTAGCTTGCGTTTCTTGTGTTGTGTGTGTTCCGTTTGTGGAATCATTGATGCACAGTTGTTGGTACTATGTTGGCCACTGTCATTCTATCCGGTCGTGAGATTGTTGTTTATGATTCTGAGTGTCATATTGTCTGCAACTGGGAAGGTTTATTATGTGTGGAACAGTAGTGTTAGCAATCTGTGGCATATAGGGAGTGCAGGGTGCATAGACATCATAATTACTCTTCAAACCTTTTTGAAATGATTGTCATTATTTTGGCTGCATAGGCATGGGGCCGCATGGTGAATACTCTTCAAACCTTTTTAAAATGATTGTCATTATTTTGCCTGCTGATGGTGGAAATAGAGAACTTTAGCCAGTTCACGTCAATCTGAGCTGTCACAGAGGGAAGGGGCGGGTGGGGAACAAATGAGGGAGGACCACATGATGATTTCAATACATACATATTGCGGGGGTTGCCTCAGGTATCACAATTTGCTAAAATCAGGGCAATTGAAACAGTTTTCACCCATCCCAGGGCTCGATCCCTATATCTTTCCCTTGCCATGTACAGTACCTGTTTGACCCTGTGTGTTTGAACCCCCGACCTACCTCTGAAAAGTCGTCGTATGTTCGACTGTTGTACATAGCTCGGTCGCGAGGGTTTGACCTGTAGACCTTAGCCTTAGCAGTCGTAGGCTTAGTATAGGTCGTAGCTGTTAGTCTTATAAGTCAAATCTAGGACCTTCTAGACTGGTCTACACTGACTCCTTGTAGGTCAGTCCGTAGGTGAGTCAGCAAAGGGCACCCCAGTGCTACCTCGTCTAGTTAGCGGTACCCAGTCCCAGTCACACTTTGTCTAGTCAGCAAGTACCATGTGGGGCTGTGTACACCCCGGACCCAGGGTCAATGACCAGAACAACGACGATCCGAAGTATAAACAAAGAGGCTGTGTCAAGTCTTTCACTCATCCTGCCTGGGAGCCGTGCGGAAGCTCTGCCGGAGCGTCTTGTGCATCAAAGGTCTGCAGGTGCCCGAGGAAGAAGAGGGCTAAGAGGAGGAAGAAGCGGCCATGGCCGCGAGTTAGTAGGAGAGAGACGGCTGCCACGCAGGTTAATGGTAGGGGTCGTGTGCCGTGTGTACACATTGGGCCCAGGCTCAAAGGCCAGACCAACGATGATCTGAAATATAAACAAAGAGGCTATAAGTCATTCATTCATTCTGCCTGGGAGGCGTGGAGCGTATTGTGCATCGAAGGTCTGCAGGTGCCCGAGGAAGAAAGGGCTAAGAGGAGGAAGAAGCGGCCATAGCCGCGAGTTAGTAGGAGAGAGACGGCAGCCATGGCTGCCTTGTAGGTTAGTGGTAGGAGTTGTTGTGTGTGTGTTTGCATGTGGGACATTCAGGGTGATCCTAGTTAGCTAGTGAGTGTGTGTGTGTGTGTGCGTGAACAAGTTCCTGGTGGATACAGTTCATCGGGTGGGAATCTTTGCGGGCGCTGGGCGCCATAGCCATTCGAGAGAAGTTTGAATTTGAAGTGTGTTCCTGGTCACGTTCTCATCTCTGAGCTTTGTGTGGGTGCACAGCGCCAGGCCAAGTCATCATTTGTTTGCATGCTTGCTGAAGTAAGAAGAACAGAATCTGATTGCCCTGGTATCAGAGCTGGTTCCCGTTGCCCCGCTGCGTTGTGTTTCCTACACGTGCCTGTTATTCTCCGCTCGCGCCTGTTTTCTTGTGCGCCACTTTGTTGAACGCCAATCGATTGGGCTCGCTCGCTGTTACCACGCGAGCCGCTGCCCATCGTGCGTGCTCTCTCCGGCCTGTGTGTATTGTCATTGCCGTGCACGAGCTGTTGCTTTTCGCGCGCCCTTGGATGCGCATGCCTGTTCGTTGCTGCACGCGCCATTGGTAGAGATCGCACGCGCTGTGAAAGAAGGAAATGGTCATCGGTGAAGAAGACTGCCGCGAAGAAGAAGATCATTGTGCGAGTAGGGGGAGATAGAGGAGAGGAAGACGGCGATGAAAGAGGAAGAGAGTGAGGGGGGGGGGGAGAGAGAGAGAGAGAGAGAGAGAGAGAGAGAGAGAGAGAGAGAGGGGAAACTGGATGCGCGAGGGAAGAAGACGAAGTGGTGGCCATAGCCGTCGAGCTCGGACATGAGGAGGAAGGAGACAAAAAGTGAAAAAGAAAGAGAAGGAAGCCATAGCCAAGGTGGGGCGAGGAAGAAAACGAAGGAGAGAAGAAGAGGTTGATGAAGGAGAAGGCTGGTGTCCATATCCAGGTGGTCAAAGGGTTGACCAAAGAAAGTTGGTTGACATTGACCGACGTTGACTTGGAGCGTTGACCAAGCTGGAGCACGGTATAATCTCTTTGAGCCTTGGCCTATCCCCCTTGCCCTGTGGATGTGCACATAACCATGGTACTTGCAAAGTGTCTGTTTGTCTCTTTTTTTTGCATCAAGTCATTTCTGTCCATGTGATAGACTGTATGTATGAGGTCATTAATTTGTAGTGACCGAACCTACACCGGACTTAGTAGGGCTTTAGCTACATTTGACGACTGATGACCTGGGGACAAGACCCCCAAGGACCAGTACAGACCGGCAGGTTGCTAAGTGTGGGGTGGTAGGACTGAACTTTGAGCTGTAGGTTGCACATCCCGCTGTCCTATTTGTGATGCTAAATAATTCCTGAGGAGCTTGGGGGATCTCCTTACATGCCTCATGATCAGCGGTAGAGTCCTGTAGTGATAGCCTTAGCAGTAGTGTAGTGTAGAGTCAGTGGTTGGGACTCTTTAGTCAATCGTGCATCTGTCACCCTGGATGACACCATGTTCGCATTGCTCCCGGGCTTCTCTTTATGGGGAGCCATGTACCATCTCTTCTTTCCTTTTGGGATTCTGCCGCACAGTGAGTTTGGCCACTACTACTAGGTCAGGGCGCCAGGCCACCCCATACACTGCTGAGCAGGAGGAGAGAGCTGCAGCCATACTGAGGGAACAGGAGGAGAAGAAGGAGAAGGCCTTGCAGAAGGTGGCCAAGAAGTTGGCTTTGTTGTCGAAGCAGGCGGCGAGAAAGAGGGAATTGGAAGAGGAGATGAAGCGGCTGCTGGAGGAGCAAGAGGAGAAACTTGCAGCAGTTCAGGAAGAAGAAGAAGAAGAACAAGAACAAGAACAAGAAGAAAAAGAAGAAAAAGAAGAGGGAGGGGTTACATAAGAAAGACGAGAACTAGTGGCACCTCAATAGAGAAGGAAGAAGTGGGCAAGATGATTGGGGAATGGGCTTCCAAGTTGGAGATAAGGGAAGGCCAGGAGGTGAAGTTGTTGGAATGGAAGTTGCGTCTTGCGAGGGAGAAGAAAAGGAGATTGCAAGCGGCTGAGAAGGCAGAGAAGGAATTAAGGGCTGCAGAAGAGAGTTTGGGTAAGCTGCCTTAGGGGGCAGATGAAGTTGTTGGAATGGAAGTTGCGTCTTGTGAGGGAGAAGAAAAGGAGATTGCAAGCAAGTGAGAAGGCAAAGAAGGAATTAAGGGCTGCAGAAGAGAGTTTGGGTAAGCTGCCTTAGGGGGCAGATGTTAATCAAAGATTAGACACTCTAACCCCTGTCTCTTATACACATCTAGATGTGTATAAGAGACAGGAGGAAGGGGCTAGAACAGGAGAAGATGTAAGGTAGAGAAGGAATTAAGGGCTGCAGAAGAGAGTTTGGGTAAGCTGCCTTAGGGGGCAGATGTTAATCAAAGATTAGACACTCTAACCCAGACCATGATTGTTGTGCTGGAGGCTCAGCAAGATCAGGTCAAGCACCTCAAGGGACATGATTTAGCCATCGAGTCCATCTGGTTAGGCTTCAAAGACTTTGCGCAGAAGATAATGACGCACATGAGCACAAAGTTGCATACCATAATGGAAGGGACACAACAATACTGCGCTGGTGCCGCAGAAGGCACCAAGATCGCTATTCCCAAGGAGGAAGAGCAGCGCCCACGTCCCGAACGTGTAAAGGTTAGATTTCCTGAGCTCTTTAGTGGAAAGAACGGGGAGGATTTCGATAACTAGGAGGTTAACGTTAAGTCCTACGTGCACCTGTAGGATATCCCGCACGATGGCCAAGTCCTTATAGCTTTCCAGGCACTGAAAGATGAAGCGACCTGCATTGCCATATCATTTGTGCACGCTGCTCATTGTGATAACGATATGGTTGCCTATTCTGCAGTAGCCCATCGGAGTGACTTCTTTGCCCCTATTAAGGAAACCTTTGTAGACGTCACTAAGACTTAAGGCGTATGACAAACTGCAAACCATCCACACACGGTAGTGGAGGAGCGCCTATTCTTAAGGCTGCAATGGATGAATTGATTACTGTGCTTAACCATGGGTCACAACTTGTCCAGTTGTTCTACCGTGGGATGCCCGAGCAGTGGCAAGGGAACTTCTTTGAGAAGAAACAACAACCCGACATGGCATATGATCAGTTGAGTAGGGATGTTGTTGCTTTCGCTGCCCATTCCATGCCAGTTACCACTTCTTGGCGTAAGGATCTTGATAAGGGGAAAAAGTGGAAAGGCCGCACCATCTCAGGTTAGGTTAAGGCCAAGGATCATCTCATACTGACCATGGAAGGGGGAGGTGCAAAGGATGTCCTCCTTAGCGATATAGAGTGGGGTCTCGATGATACAGACAATAGTGCACATCAGGGCGGTACCTACGCTGTTGTCGTGGCCGGAGGGAGGTCTCGAGGAGGTGGAAGAGGCCAAGGCCAAGGTGGTCAGGCCTCTGGTGGTCGAGGACAGGGGGTCGGCGGCAGAGGAAACCGCCAAGTAGGAGGCACGGATCAAGGTACCCCGTCAAACCGTCCTCGCTATGAGCGATCACGTCCCTGAGGGGGTGGTTGGCATTGTTGGCTTGAGGGATGGCCCTGGGAAACATTGGGCATCAGACAAATCAATTGGCAGAACAGGATAAACATATTCCAAGGCGTGTTCTG